ATTTGAGAGTATTTACTTATAAACTTGTTTCTTTTCTGCTGCGTCTAAATAGAAACGGGTAAGTCTGACAGCTACCATATTTGAGAATGAATTGTTTGTTTTTTTAATATATATTCATGGAAAAACATCTCGTTGCTGGACATCACGACTAACATTTGAAAATGGCCCAAAATGTAGAAAATTATTATAATTATTTTTTTAAATTGCATTAACTTGAGAACGGCTGGACTTAGGAAAAAAGTTTTATATGCAAAGTTATCGAAATTTATGCGTAGAATCCAAATAAATTATTATTTTATAAAAAAATATGCATTTTCATCAATTTGTAAAAATCAACAAAAATTTAAAAAATTATAGCTTTCTTTTTAAGAAAGTTACCAGCATACACTTTTCACCAAATATTAGGGCATTATTTCAGTTTTTTTGAAAAAAAAAATTATAAATATCGAAGGGGGGGTGTTTTGAGATAATCATCGTTTTACGTTTTTTAAATACTAATTTACGAAGTTTTTTCTTTCAGTGTATTTTTTCCGCAAAGATAATTTAATTACCTAAAACTTCTTCTCATATGCCGTTTTAATCAGATCAATAGTTTTCAAGTAATGATTTTTTGAAAAAAAAATAATCCATTTTTTTATACGCCCTTTTCAAAAGTTACTCTGGAGGAAAAAATCATATTTAAATGAAAAATGTAACCATAAGTAGCAGCGAACACGTGAGAAATGTTTCATTCAAATCGGAAACACTCATGACCAACCGGTTTGCGTTTTGGGCTGGAAATGCTCTAATACGACATGCACTAAACTAAAGACACGGGATATACTAAAACAGATCAAATTACTGGTCGCAGTGGTTTTATGTCCCTAACAGAGGAAAAAAACTGTCTACGTAGCGGAATGACGGGGTCTATAACACCTCAAAAACTGTCTACATAGTTTATTGTTAGCCATTCTAAGTTTATTAAGAACATTGGGCTGAATTTGTCGCACCATGGAAATCCAGACACCACGTGTGACTAGTAATCTAGATGTAATAATCGTAATTAGTCAGAAATTAAAAACTTCGTTTAAATTACATTGTATAATATACACATAGTTACAGATCAGTCGCACCCCTCTCCTCTAACCGTGCAGTTTTCGATGCAGTTAACTTTCAATACACTTTACTGTACTGCCGCTATTCGCATAACAGTCCTATGTAGATATAGGAAATCCACAGGACATGGGACTGTTCTGCGACGCTGCATCTCCGATGGGGCCGCCACACGAATGCGACTCGAAACCTAATCCGCAAAAGTGTAACAACTTCTTACACTCGAGCTTATTGCATACGTGAGCCAAATTCACAATTTTCAGTTTGCACCTTCTTTCTTCTTTTATTTTTTCTCCATCTAATCGCATTACCGACTGACCTCGCTGCAATTTTTTCTTTGCATCCATCTTTCTCTCATTGAGGGAGCTGAAAGATTCCCACGTAACCAAATACCGAGCCAAATTCCTCGCATCCCAATCAGTGATAACATTCGGCGACCGCATTTCTCTTTCACTCGCTGTGTCTCTCTCTCTCTCTCGAACCGATCAACGAACAAAATGATGACGATTGCGAAAAAGAAACGCAGCATATCGATATGCGGCCATTACGAAACAAAATAGCCAATGGGGCCAGTTGCAGCAGCAGGCACTTGATGGCGTCGCGTTGCCATCAATTTATTGCAGGAGGAGCGGGGGAATAGGGATGCATGCCCATGGCTCCCGGGGTTGAATATCCTGCAATCGTTCATCGACCCGACACCGACTGACGAATGTGGACTCGAATAAGCTAATGGATCCATTCCATGGCCGGTCGTGTAGAACTATGGGGCTTGTCGGTTTGGTCCTTTCTTGAAATAAATGACCCATGATGGCCACAGCCAAAGTCTGCCCGGGTGGACATGGAACGGTCCACTAGCGCAAAGTGAAAGAGTTGGAAAATCCAATTAATTGATTGATGTCAACTTATATTCCGATTTTCTACTTTGTTTCGCTTTCCCGCAACGAAAGCAAAATTTTCCAGCTTTTTTTTTTCTCCTACGATCCTGTGAGTGGAAACGAATACGCTAGCAACGGAAACGTTATGCGGTGAGAAGAAGAACAAGAAGTATCCAAAATAGGAAAATAGCACAACAATCTAACAAGTTAAAGTTCAACCAAGTGTAAGCACACAGAGCGTGTGTGCAGTGATTGAAAGTTTACCCGCTGCGCGAGAAAAGTGTTTTCCAAAGTGAGCCGGTGTTTGCGCGTGTGTGTGTTGATTGCATCAGTGGAAAAACCGAAAAAGTATCTGCTGGAAGCCAGAGCAAGGGGGAGTCGGGGACACTTTCTCCTCTCTTGGCCGACGGCGGCGGTGCCTGGGACCGGGAGATAGGAAGAAGAGGGAAACGATCCTAAACGTGACAAAAGAATACGACGAAATCGTGGTGGAACGGGAACAGAACGACAGCAGTACAACTAAATAACAATAACAGCAGCAGCAGCATCAACAGGAAGAAGAAAGCAACAGGAAGGTGGTGGAGGGAGTAGAAAAACACTCCGACAGTCAGCCAGTCAACCACCGTACTCTGTGCTAAACTACAACGAGAACATACACAACAATAACAACAACAGTAGCAGCGAGGAGGAGAGCAATCGCCTCGTGCCATACCATACATAGGACAAACCGTTGTCGTCGTCGTCGTCGTCGTACACACACCACATCGGAGGGCAACTTTTTCAAAAAGGGTAAGTTTAGCGAGCTCGCTTTTATCCTCTTTATTATGGCGTGCGATCGAGTCTCAACCCCCTTTGTGAACGCCCAGGTTCACACGGGCGCGACTTACTGTGAGACGCTTTTTCTTTTTCTTTTTGTTATTCTCTGTCTCGGTCTATTGTGAATTTTCGGAGGTAGAATCGATGTCACTGAGGGTGAGATGTAAGATGATTATGAAAATACTCACCATAATGCCTTTTGCGAGAGTATAATCGTGTTTAATTTAGATTGTGCAATCACAGCTGTAACATCGTTTCTTGCGGAAGTAACAAATTGTCTTAATGAATATTTAAAGATAAAGTGTTTATGGGCAGACGTACCAGATTTACTAACGACGGTGCTTTGATTTGTGCTCTAAAGCTGGGTTGTTCGGCCGAATGGTAACTAGGTCGAATTGTTTCTCACTTATCAACGAAAATTTTCTCATTTGAAAAAGAGAACAAAGAGCACATACAAGAAGGACAAATAAGATCAGTAGCAACAGGATGCTTTCTGTTTGTTCAACAGGATGCTTTCTGTTTACATTGTTGTTAGAGTTTGGCTATACAAAAATCAAGGCATCCAAATTATTCTAAAGTTCCGATCCTTATATTCACAGGTTCAACAGAGATGTATAGGGGATGTTATCCGGGTGAATTTGAATTCAAAAATGCTTATAAAGCTTCAACACAATATGAAATACAAAACAGCATATGGTCCACAGAATATTAAATTGGGTTCTATAATTTTCCGCATGTGCAACCTGTTCCTGGAACAGGTAATCAATTTTATGTAATCGTGCATGTTCATTTTTATTGTTTTACTAGACCATTACATTTTGTTGCTGGCGTTGGCACGTTGTGGCGATACGCTTAGTTTTTGTTGCTTAATTCGCCTAAAAGTAGCCTATTTTGTCTGTTTTTACAATTCGCCTAAACTATTCTGCAGCCAAAAGAAAGAATCGTTTTCTTATTTACGTTCATCCGCTTATGGGGAACCTATGGGCAGCGTTGCCAGAAGTGAAAGTTTGCATTCACCCCTATGCAGTAAGCCGAGCAAGCCAACCGCGCACGAAAACCAGCAACCACTGTCGCTGGTTCGAAGAGCGTCCAGAACGGGTAAAAATATGCGAGAGCATCGTGAGAGTGAGAGAAGCTCCTGCTGTTTCACGAAAAGGAAGCAATAGGGCTGCGGGATGTAATGTCAGCCTAGCCTCTCCTTTCGGCCTATCAAGCAAATAACTCATTCATTCAGCAATAATACACAATAGTGATGAAAAAATAATAACACATCTGCTGTGAAATTGTAATCCGTAAATTAATTGGGAAAAATTTAGAACATGTATAGCTCTTTAAAAAAATAAGTAAAATTATCATATTTTTCGATTTTAAGGCGCCAATAGTATTGCTATTCTGCATAAATGCGAAACATTACTTGACCTTAACGAAAATGGTTAAAAATTGTTTATAATCCCTTCTAAACTTTAACTGAAATGGTTATAGAACTTTACATGAACGTTTGTGTGATAAAGTTTTAACCTTATATATTATGGTTTTTGGAAGTGAACCTTACAAATAATGGGTTGTTAAGAACCATTACCATTCCAAATTCTCTTTTTCTCCATACATTTTTGGGAAAGGAATTATATTGAAAGCATTTTATTTATGATTTGAGAACTTCAATGGTAATGGTTATGGTAGTCGGTAAGGTTCATAGATCGTTTTGTAACATCGATCAACTTTATGTGGAACCTATCGTGAATTGGTTGCCTGATTACCAATTTGCGATATATTTCACGTAAAGTTGACCGATAATACAAAACCATTAATGGACCTTACTGGCTTCCATAACCATTACCATTAATGTTCTCGAACCATAAGTAAAAAGGTTCTAATATAGTCCTCTCTCCGAAAATGTATGGAGAAAACAACAATTTTTAATGGTAATGGTTCCTAACAACCCATTATTTGTAAGGTTCACTTCCAAAGAAATATAATACATAAGATTAAAACATTATCACACAAACGTTCTTGTTAAGTTCCATAACCATTTCAGTTAAAGTTTAGCAGGGGTTGGTTTGCGTTAATGCGGGATATTATTGCACTAGAGCAAATTCGCAAATTGGTTTACTTTGTATTTTTTTATTTGCTTGAAAATTTGCGGAAACGTTCCTTATAACCGACAATGCCATTTTGAATCCAGCCTTATTTTTGGAAAGGGCATATAGAAAAATATCAAGCTTATCTTCGAACATTTTTTGCTCCAAAACTGTTTGTCTGATCGGTTTGGTGCTTCGGCAATATTGCAGGTAATAGATGAGACTATATGAAAAAAAATATGCACTCTAAAAAAATTAACCCAACTTTTTTTTTTAATTTCAAATAACATTTTTTCTCAAAAAAAGATTCTTTGTATTTTTTATTTGTTGATATGTTTTAGGTGTCAGAAAATGCCATCTATTGCACTATAGGTCAAGATGGAGAAATGAAAGGGCAAAACAAGTTCTAATTTTTTAAAAACTAGTTTTTGGAAAAATATCCAAAACTTGGTGCAATTACTGTTTCTAACAATGTAAAAATAAATCAAATCATTCTCGAAAAATCGCAATTGTAAGTTATTTGCATATGCTAACGAGTGAAATATGTATATATAATTTAGATCATATCGATAATCAACCTAGAGCATTTTCATTGAAACATTTTTTCGGAACTGGAGAACCGCGAAATACATTTAAAATGGCAAAAAACTACCAACATTTTAAAAATATCTACTTTCAAACCGCTACATCTCGAAAACGGTGTGACTTAGCAAAATTTTACTAAGGTGCTTTTTTATTGTAAATTTGGTGCACTTTCAGTATATAAAGTCGAAAAAGTAATTGGACCAAGTTTTGGATATTTTTCCAAAACCTTGAGTTTTTTTTTTTAAATCATAACTTTTTTGTCCATTATTTCTCCATGTTGACCTATAGTGCAACAGATGGCATTTTTTGTCCCCTTAACATCAATAAATAAACAAATTTTTTTTGAGAAAAAATGTTTTTAAGATTTTATTTGAAATTAAAAAAAAAAGTTGGGTAATTTTTTCTAGAGTGTATATTTTTCTCAAATAGTGTCATCCATTATCTGCAATATTGCACAAAACACTAAACCGATCGGGCAAACAGTTTTCGAGTAAAAATATTCTGAAGATAAACTTGATATTTTTCTATAGGCCCTTTTAAAAAATAAGGCTGTATTCAAATTGGCGATATGAAGATGCAAAATGGCATAGCCGGAATAAGGAACGTTTCTGCAAATTTTCAGCCAAATCAAAAAATACAAAAATCATACAAAGTCATACAATAACCTGATAATTTCATGAATTGAAAGGACTTACCTTTTCAACATGCTAGCCTAATAAATCAATATCGCACCTTTCACTCTTATTGTAGAAGATTTAACGCTTTTTGCGCTTTATAACTATGGGCCGAACATTAGGGACGTAATTTTGAAACGTGTTCCTAATTATGACCTACGAACTTTATTTGATAACTTTGTTTTGGTATTGGTGAAACCATTCGCGTTGACGACGACTCTGCAACTGTTCACTCCTATAGGAAAACCCCATAAGCAAATGTCGAATTTCGTGAAAAAATGTTAATCTTTGCGTGAAAGGACGGGTCGAAACGATACACACGCCCAGTCTTGTAAGCGGTCACGGTAGTCGACACATTTTCTGTGATAATTGACTGCCTTTGCCTCCGACACTTGCAAAACAAGCTATCATAGTACAGTACCAAACTAAAATGTCGTATGACAGGCTCTGTCATACGACACTGTCGCCGAAGACCCGTCACGAATGTATGTATTTTAGTTTTTCTCATAATAAGAGCTGCTGATGGTGTGCTTGTGTGAATTCTGAAAATAGCAAGCAATGATGTCCTATTAATAATATTTCTGATCAGAAATGGTTTGATTTACTCCAAATTGAGGAATTACAACGAAATCACACATGTTATATGATAGCTATTTTGATAATTTTCTTTTAGCTCGAATGTTATTCTACCGCTCGTGTTGTGTGAAAGAGACGACGGTAGAGCATGAGTGTTCGAATACAAACAGACTGTCGCGCACGACAACGAAGCGAGTGTAGTAAAAAACGTCAACTGTTTCAACCCCTGCACACGCCATTTCTAAACAACCCACATTTGAGTAGTATTTACTCATCTCCGTCAAAATTAAAGTAACCCAAATTGAGTAAACCAAGTTGGGACTGACAAGATGCCTAATGGAACACATTGACATGAATCCGAATGATGTTGTTCATTTGCCATCTTGTCATTTCCAACTTTGTTTGTTTAATTTAGGGTAGCCCTACTTTTGACGAATATGTGTAGATCCTACTCAAATTTGGGTTGTTTAGAAATAGGGTGCAGTCCATCCTGCCAACACAAACTTCACGGCAATGAAACTGATTCATATATGAGGACCGTTCACTCAAATTCGCAAAAGCGTAGGTCACTGATAGAATGAGTAAATGTCACTAATATTTGAGTGATATTTACTTGATTGTGTGGCTGGAATGATTGTCATGCATGTCGGTTTGTCGGTGATTTTCGTGGAGAATGATTCGGGCCAGTCTGCAATGTGCAGAATACACACATTGTGTATATGTTGGACGAGTTCCAGGTCATTTTCTGTTATTCCTGAATCAAGTGCAATTGATTTCATGGTTAGATTTGGTGAGTTTGTTCCAGTTGGAGAAAGTTCTGGTGGGGACTGGTGATGAAGGTTCTAGCCGGAAGATAGTGAAAAACAACATTTGTCACACAGATGTTACAAATCAGCCATTGGATATATCGTTCAACTTATTAAAGTTTATCAGATGTCTCCTCAATAAAGAAACAAGAACAACAACTTATTTAAGTTAATTTTCCGCTCTTCGATGATGGAGCATCTTTAGATTCACAGTTTCAGCCTTCGTTCAGGTTATTTTCAGCCCTTCGATGATG